TAAATTAGGATATTTCTATACTTATTGTTGAGGTTTCAGTTTTTTTGTTTATTTGGAATATGTCTTTTTTCAGATATGTCTTTTGCAACCATTTACTCCCAGTTCTGAGCTTGTTCTTTGATTCTCTCCACTGTCTCTTTCACAGAGAAAAAGAAAAAAAAAAAACAACTTTATTTACTTGAGTTCAACTTATCAATTTTTTCTTTGTGAATCAAGCTTTTAGCTACATTTATATAAATATGTATTGCCAAACCCAGGACACCCAGATTCTCTAGAAGCTTTATAGCTTTCCATTTTACATTTAGACGTATGGTACGTTTTGAGTTAATTTTTGTAGAAGGTGTAAGGTCTGTGTCTAGATCCTTTTCCTTGCATATTGTAGGTCCATTTATACTACAAACTTTTGTCGAATTGCCTTTTTTGGGGGCAGTGTCTAACATCAGTTTATATTTATGTGAGTCTTATTGTTGGACTTTCTATTTCATTCCATACTATATGCTCTTAATTACTATAGCTTTATAGCAAATCATGGAATCAGGTAATGTGAGGTTTCCAAATTTATTCTTAATATTGTGCTGGATCTTCTAGATTTTTTTCTCCTATTAATTTTAGAAATAATTTTTCAAAAACTACAAATAACGTACAGAGAAATTGACTAAGATTGTGTTGAATCTATAGCTCAAGATGTGAAAAAATGTTATTTTAACAATATGAGTCTTCCAATCCATGAATGTAAAATATATCTGGATTTATTTATTTATTTTAAAATTTATTTTATCAGAATTTTGTGGTTTTCTATATATAGATTCTATATCTATTTTAATGAATTTGCATGTATTTTATTTTTTGAATGCTGCTGTAAATGGTGCTTTTAAAACAATTAATCTCACGTTCCAAATATTCACTGCTGATTTATATGAAAGCAATTGCATTTGTATGCTGAGCTTGTATCCTGTCACCATGCTATATAAATTTATTATTTCCTGGAGTTTTTTGGTTTGTTTATTTGTGGGGGATTTTCTTCATAGACAATCATGTTATCTGCTAAGTAAAACAGTTTTTCTTTTTCTTCCTCTCAGTCTGTATAACTTGTATTTTTTCCTGTTATCTAGCTTCCACTATAAAGTTAAATAAAACTGTTGAGAGAGGATATGTTTATGTTATCTATTATCTTCAGAGAAAATCATAGAAATTCTCACCATTAACTATAACATTGTTGTAGATATTTTGTAGATATTATTTATGAAGTTGAAAAAGTTCTCCTCTATTTATATTTACTAAAATCTTTTATGATAAATAAATTGCAATTTTTCAAATGCTTTTTCTCCACTAATTTATTTTTTTCTCTTTGGTGGGATGTAGTGATTTTGTAATTGAACTAGCTGTGTATATATGGAATAAATCTGACATAATTGCATAGTATAGTTATTGTATAGATTGTTGGATAAGGTTTGCTAATATTTTATTGAGAGTTTTGCACCTATCTGTTTTTAAAACAGATATTGGTATGCAATTTTCTTCTTGTTAAATGTTTATCTAGTTCTGTTATTTGGATGATGGTAGCCCCTTAGAATTAGTTAGAAGTGTCCCTCTGATTATTTGGAAGAGATGTTGGTAAATTGCTATCATTTATTTATTAAAGAGAATTCACTGGCAGATTTTATCAGTGAAATTATCTGAGTCTGCTGCTTTGTTTTTCTTAGGTTATTAATTTCTTAACTTCTTTAATAATATAGACCAATTATTTAATTTCCTTAATTTTATTTAATGATATATACATATAGGCCAATTATTTAATATTGTTAGTCATAGTGGCCATTTAGATTACTTATTTTTCCTTGTGTTTATCTTAGCAGTTTGCATCTTCAAAGAAAGTGATCTATTTTGCCTAAGTTACAAAATTTGTGGGCATAGATGTGTTTGTAGTATTTCTTTACTCTTCTTTTAATATTCAGGTGGTATGTAGTGGTGATCTATTTGTCTCTTTTGTCATCAGCAATTTGTGTCTTTTCTCTCTTATTTTTGGTTGGCCTACCTGGCTAGAGGTTTGTCAATGTCATTGGTCTTTCAAAGAACTAGCCTTTTTCTTTCTTTTTTTTTTTTTTTTGTGATTTACTCTATTGAGTTTTTAGTTTACACTTTTATTGAACTCTGATCAAGTTTATATATATTATTCTTTTTTTTTTTCTATTTGTGTTAGGCTAATATTGCCCTTTCTTTGCTAGTCTCCTCAAGCATAAACTTAGGTTATTAATTTAAGATGTACCATATGTTCTAATATACACACTTTAATTTCTGTTGAAGTAGTGCTGTTGCTGCATCCCACACATTTTAATAGGTTTTACTTTTACTTTCATTTAGTTCAACATATTTTAAAATGTCACTTGAGGCTTATTTGACCAAAATGTTACTTACAGAAATACAGTTTAATTTCTAAATACTTGAGGATTTTTAAACTATGTTTTGCTATTGATTTCTAGTTTTATTCCATGTTGGTTTGAGAATATACTTTGTATACCTTTCTATTTATTGATGAGTGTTTCATATGAGCTTGAGAATATATTCTGTTGTTGATGGAGTATTCAATAAATGTTAACTGGATTAAGTTAACTGATAGTCTTGTTTAGGTCAACTATATACTTACTAATTTTCTGTCTGCTTGATTGTGTACCTGTTACTTACAGAGGGGTAAATAGGTATCCAACTAAAATATTGAATTGATCTATTTCGTTTTGCAGTTAGTCAGTTTTTGCTTCACATATTTTGATACTCTGTTGTTACGTACATACACATTAAAGACTGTTCAATGTCCTCTTGAGGAAATATCCTTATTATTTTTATGTAATGTCCTTCTTTATTCCTCATTCTTTTCCTTTTTGTAAAATCTGCTTCGTATGAAATCAATATAGGCCCTTTTAAAATTAGTGTTAGCATGGTGTATTTTTTGCCATCTCTTTTATTCTAACATATTTGAGTTTTATATTTAAGTTAATTTCTCATAAACCTCATGGAGTTGTTCTTCTTTTTCCCCTCTAATTTGATTATTCCTATCTTTTAATTAGTATATTTAAACAATTGACACTCAAAGGTATTATTTATAGGTTGGATGAATATCTGTCATATTTGTAGCTATTTCTTTACATGGTACTTTGTTGCTTTTTTAAAATCTTTTTTTTTCCCCTTCTCTGGCTTTAGCCGAGCATTTCTTTTTCTCTCATGTCCCATATCAATTACATTTCTAGATAAATTTTTGTAGTGGTTAGGCTAGAATTTGTTATATACATTTGTAACTAATCTAAGTTCACTTTCAGGTAAAACTATACTGCTTCGTGAATGGTGCAGGTAACTTATGAGTATTCCCAATTCATCCCTCCCATTGTTTATGTCATTGCTGACATTCATTTTGCTAATTTATATGCTATAATTCAATGCATTGCTACTATTATAGCTTTTAAAAATTACTTCAATTAAGATTGAGAAAAATAAAAGATAATATTTTACCTGTCTTTATTCTTTCTCCAAGGCTTTTCCTTAAAAGGAATGGATTGGAATTTCTAATGTATATTATTTTTCGTATCTCCAAAGAACTGCTTGTTCCTATATTTCTTGTAGGTCAGGTGTGTTGGCAATGAGTTCCCTTAGTTTTTGTTTGTCTAAGAGAGTCCCTAGAGAATTTATTGACCATTTGTATTTCTCCTTCACTTTAAATAATAATTTTGCTGGGTACAGAAATCTAAATTGGTGGCTTATTTCTTTCAGCAATTTAAATATTTCACATCACTCTTCTTTACTTGCTTGCTCTCTGATAGGAAGCATAGTAGAATTCTTTTTATTTCTTTTTTTTTTTTAATTACTTCAATAGTTTTTGGGGAACAGGTAGTTTTAGTTACTTGGATAGGTTCTCTAGTGGCAAATTTGGAAATTTTGGTGCACCTGTCACCCAAGCAGTGTACACTATACCCAATGTATAGTCTCTCAGCCCTCGCCCTCTCCTACCCTTCCCCCTCAGTCTCCAAAGTCCATTATATTATTTTTATGCCTTTGCAATTTCATAGCTTAGCTACCAATATAAGTGATAATGTGCTATGTTTGGTTTTCCATTCCTGAGTTACTCCACTTAGAATAATGGTTTCTGACTCCATTCTTGCTGCAGATGTCATTGTTTCACCTTTTTAAATGGCTGAGTAGTATTCCATTGTGTACATATACCACGTTTTCTTTATCTACTCATTAGTCTACGGACATTTATGTTGGTTGTGTATTTTTGCAATTGCGAATTGTGCTGCTGTAAACATGCACATACAAGTGTCCTATTCATATAACTTCTTTTCCTTTGGGTAGATACCCAAGTACTGGAATTTCTGTGTTCAACTGGTAGTTTTACTTTAAGTTCTTTAAGGAGTTTCCATACTGTTTGCATTCCCACCAACAGTGTAAAAGTATTACCTTTACATTACACCCATGCCAACACCTATTTTTTTTTTTTTATTTTTAAATTATGGCCATTCTTGCAGGAGTAAGGCGGTATCTCATTATGGTTTTAATTTCATTTCCCTGATAATTAGTGATGGTGATAATGTTTTCATATTTTTGTTGGCCATTTGTATACATGTCTTTTTTTGTGAATTGTCTAGTTATGTCATTTGCCCATGTTTTGATGGGGCTATTATTTTTTCTTTCTTATTTGTTTGAGTTTCTTATAGATTCTGCATGTTAGTCCTTTGTCTGAGGCATAGTTTTAAAATATTTTCTCCCACTCTGTGGGTTGTCTTTTTACTCTGCTGATTATTTCTTTTGCTGTGCAGAAGCTTTTTCTCCATGTTCCATTTATTTATTTTTCCTATTGTTGCATTTGCTTTTGGATTGTTGTTCATGAAGTCTTTGCTTAAGCCAATGTTTACAAGATATTTTTCAATGTTATCTTTTAGCATTTTATGGTTTCAGGTATTAGATTTAAGTAGTTGATTCATCTTGAGTTGATTTTTGTGTAAGGTAAGAGATGAGGGTCCAGTTTCATTCTGGGATATGGTTTGCCAATTATCCCAGCACGCTTTGTTGAGTAGGTGTCTTTCAGCCATTTTACGTTTTTGTATGCTTCATCAAATGTTAGTTGGCTGTAAGTATTTGGCTTTATTTCTGGGTTCTCTATTTTGTTCCATTGTCCTACATATATTTCCTTATACTAGTACCATTTTTTAGCATCACCTGTAGTTTCTCTCAACAGTGATTTGTAGTTTTCCTTGTAGAGGTCTTTTACCTCCTTGGTTAAATATATTCCTTAGTATTTTATTTTTTTGCAACTATTGTAAAAGAGACTGAGTTCTTTTTTTATTATTATTCTATTTGAGATGAAGTCTTGCTTCGTGGCCTAGGCTGGAGTGCATTGGCGCCATCTGGGCTCACTGCAACCTCCACCTTGGGGGTTCAAGCAATTCTCTTGCATGAGCCTCCCCAGTAGCTGGGATTACAGGATTGCGCCAACACACCCAGCTGTTTTTTGTATTTTAGTAGAGACAGGGTTTCACCATGTTGGACAGGCTAGCCTTGAACTTCTGACCTCAAGTAATCTGCCCACCTCAGCCTTCCAATGTGCTGGGATTACAGGTGTGAGCCACTGCACCTAGCTGGGACTGAGTTCTTGATTTGATTCCCAGCTTGGTCGTTGTTGGTATACAGCAGTGCTACTAATTTGTGTGCATTGATTTTGTATCCAGAAACTTTACTGAATTCATTTATCAGATTTAGGAGATTTTGGCATGAGTCTTTAGTGCTTTCTGGTATACAATTGTATCATTAGTGAACAGTTGTAGTTTGACTTCCTCTTTTCCAATTTAAATGCCCTTTTTTCTTTTCCTTGTCTGCTCTGGCCAGGACTTCCAGTATTATGTTTAATAGAAGGAGTGAGAGTGGGCATTTTTTTCTTATTTCAGTTCTCAGGAGGAATTCTGTCAACTTTTCTCCATTTAGTAAGATATTGCCAGTGGGTTTCTCATATATGGCTTTTATTACTTTGAAGTATGTTCTTCCTGTGCCAATTTTGCTGAGGGTTTTATTATAAAGAGATGCTAGATTTTGTAAAATGCATTTTTCTGTGTCTATTGAGATGATCATATGATTTTTGTTTTTAATTCTGTTTATGTGATGTATTACATTTATTGACTTGTGTATGTTAAACCATTTCTGCATCCCTAGTATGAAATCAAATTGATTGTGATGTATTGTATTTTTATTTTGCTATTAGTTAGAGTGTTTTGTTGAGGATTTTTGCATCTATGTTCCTTGAGGATCTTGGTCTGTAGTTTGTTGTTGTTGTTGTTAAGTCGTTTCCTTGTTTTGGTATTAGGGTGAAACTGGCTTCATAGAATGTTTTAGGGAGGATTCTTCTATATCTTTTGGAATAGTTTCAGTAGGATTGGTACCAATTCTTTTCTAAATGTCTTATAGAATTCAGCTGTGAATCCATCTGGTCCTGCATTTTTTTTGTTGGCATTTTCTTTGTTACAGTTTCAATTTTGCTACTTGTTATTGGTGTGTTCAGGATTTCTATTCTTTCTAATTTAAACTAGGAGGGTTGCCTATTTCCAGGAATTTACTGATCTCTTCTATATTTTCTAATTTGTATGTGTAAAGATGTCATAGTAGTGTTGAATGGTCTTTTGTATTTCTGTAGTGCTGGTTGTAATATCTCCTGTTTCATTTCTTTTTCCTTTTTTTTTTTTTTTTTTGAGATGGAGTCTCACTCTGTAGCCTTGTGCAGTGGCACAATCTCTGCTTGCTGCAAATTCTGCCTCCCAGGCTCAAGCAACGCTAGTGCCTCAGCCTTCTGGGTAGTTGGGACTACAAGTGAGCACCACCATGCCCAACTAATTTTTGTATTTTAGTAGAGATGGGGTTTCACCATGTTGCTGAGGGTAATCTTGAACTCCTGAGCTTAGGCGATCTGCCCACCTTGGCCTCCCAAGGTGCTGAGATTACAGACGTGAGCAACCATGCCTGACCTCCTGTTTCATTTATTATTGAGCTTATTTGTATCTTCTCTCTTCTTTTCTTAGTCAGTCTCAGTAGTGGTCTGTCCATTTTGTTTAGTATCTTGAAGAACTAGCTTTTTGTTCCATTTATTTATTTTGTTGTTGTTTTAATTTCATTTAGCTCTGCTCTGATCTTTGTTATTTCTTTTCTTCTGCTGGGTTTAGGTTTGGCCCTCTTGTGGGACTGTACTTACCCTGGGTTATTCCAGAAAAGCTATCTATAGGTGACTCTGTAGATAGCTGACATATCTGGTGATGTTGCATTCCTGTGGGGGAAGCCCCAGCTGTGTCTGCAGTGGAGTAGCAGGGGGAGCCCTCCACAGTCACAGAAGCTCTCTGCCTGTTAGGGTATAAGTGCAGAATGTCCCTACTGCACCCAGCACTGTAATGATGTCTCTGCTGTGAATAACTACCCACCTGCAAAGAGATCTGTAACTCAAGGTCTGCTGTTCAGATTATTTTGTTTCACAGCGTGATTCCTTGATGTGATAGTCTCCTCCTTCCTCTAGGGATGGGGCTTTCTGAAAGTCAGACTGCAGTGATTATTATTGCTCTTTTGGGTCTAGCCATCCAGAGGGGCTAGCTGGTGATGGAGAATATGTGCAAAGAGTCCAGTGACATGACCAGTCTTCAGGTCTCCCACCCATGAATACCAGCACCTGCTCTGGTGGAGATGTCAAGGAAGAGGTGTAGACTCTGTGGGAATCCTTAGTTGTAGATAGGTTTAGTCTGCTGGCTTTCTTGAATGCTGGTTGTGCTAGCAGTGAATTTGTCACTTGAACAGACTCAGGACCTCTGATTAGCCCGTTGTTGCAGGCAGCAATATTAAGTGTTGTTTTCCCTTTCCTGGGATCAGAGTTATTCTGACATGAGTTGCTGTAATGGCCTGAGTTGGTTAGCCTGCAGCCAGGAGGTGGTGCTTTTAAGAGGGCACTAGCTGCAGTATTAGCAGCAGGATATGAGCTTGCCCTAAGTTAGTCAGGGGAAGTATTCTGGTTTCTCAGGTGATGGGTGGGGCCATAAAGCTCCCATAGTTTATGTCTTCTGTGTTTGGAGTTTTTCACCTGTCTCATTGAGTTTTCAGGGCATGCTGTTTCCTTCATAGCATTCATGAATTCCTTCAGTTTTCCTGGTGCATTCCTACAGTAGTTCTTGGATCAAAAGTTTGCAGTGTCAATCTCTACAAACTGCTCTATCCATCCAAACAGGAGATGCACGTTAACCCTGCCTCTTATCTGCCATCTTCTCCAGGAAGTCTACTATAATTTATATTCTTGTTCTTTTAGAGGAAGGTTTTATATTTTTTTTCATTTCTATCAAGACTTTCCTTTTGTCTTTGATAAAAATCTTCATTTTAAGTGTGATAGGTCTAAGTGTAGATGTTTTGGTATTTATCATGTTTGCTCTTTTCTGCTTCTTGAATCTGTGGTTTGATACTATTTATTAATTTTGGAAAATCATAGCCATTACTATCTCAAATATTTCTTCTACTCCACTCATATTCTGTTTCTCTCATTTTCTTACTGATATTCCAATTAATGCGTGTGTATTTTCAAATAAACACACATTAAAATTTTTGTAATTGTCCCACAGGTTTTATATTCTGTTCCCTTGTTTTTATTAATTTTTCTATTTATATTTAAATTTGGAATGTTTTTATTAAACTATTTTAACACTCATTGGTTCTCTAGTCATATTCAGCCTTCTGATGGCCCTATCAAAAGCATTTCTAATTTCTGTTACCATTTTTTAAATTTATAGCATTTAGTTTTGATTATTTCCTTGGAGTCTCCAATTATTTGTTTATGTTACAAAGATATTCTTTTGCTAATGTTCTTTTATTTTTAATTTTTTATTATACTTCAAGTGGTAGGATACATATGCAGAATGTGCAGGTTTGTTACCTAGGTATACATGTCCCATGGTGGTTTGCTGCACCCATCAATCCATCATCTACATTAGATACTTCTCCTAATGCTATCCCTCTCCCAGCTCTCCATTCCCTGACAGACCCTAGTGTGTGATGTTCTCCTCCCTGTGTCCATGTGTTCTCATTGTTCAACTCCCACTTATGAGTGAGAACATGAGGTGTTTGGTTTTCTGTTCTTGTGTCAGTTTGCTGAGAATGACAGTTTTCAGCTTCATCCTTTTTCCTGCAAAGAACATGAACTCATCCTTTTTTATGGCTGCATAGTATTCCATGGTGTATATGTGCCACATTTTATTTATCCAGTCTATTATTGATGGGCATTTGGGTTGGTTCCAAGTCTTTGCTATTGTGAATAGTGCTGCAATAAACATACGTGTGCATGTGTCTTTATAATAGAATAATTTATAATATCTTAAGTATACATGTGCGTGTGTCTTTATAATAGAATAATTTATAATCCTTTAAATATATAGTCAGTAATTAGATTTCTGGGTAAAATAGTATTTCTGGTTCTAGGTCCTTGAGGAAGTGCCCCACACTGTCTTCCACAATGGTTGAACTAATTTATACTCCCACCAATAGTGTAAAAGTGTTCCTATTTCTCCACATCCTCTCCAGCATCTGTTGTCTCCTGACTTTTAAATGATCGCCATTCTAACTGGCATGAGATGGTAACTTATTGTGGTTTTGATTTGCATTTCTCTAATAACCAGTGATGGTGAGGGTTTTTTCATATGTCTGTTGGATGTATGGATGTCTTCTTTTGAGATGTGTTTGTTCATAACCTTTGCTCACTTTTTAATGGTTTTTTTCTTGTAAATTTGTTCAAGTTCCCTGTAGATTCTGGATATTAGTCCTTTGTCAGATGCACAGATGGCAAAAATTTTCTCTCATTCTGTAGGTTTCCAGTTCACTCTGATGATAGTTTCTTTTGCTGTGCAGAAGCTCCTTAGTTTAACTAGATCCCATTTGTCAATTTTGGCTTTTGCTGCCATTGCTTTTGGTGTTTTAGTTATGAAGTCTTTGTCCACGTCTATGTCCTGAATGGTACTGCCTAAGATTTCTTCAAGGGTGTTTTATGGTTTTAGGTCTTACATTTAAGTGTTTAATACATCTTGAGTTAATTTTTGTATAAGATGTAAGGAATGGGTCCAATTTCAGTCTTCTGAATATGGCTAGCCAGTGTTCCCAACACTATTTATTAAATAGGGAATCCTTTCTCTGTTGCTTGTTTTTATCAGGTTTGTCAAAGATCAGAGGTTTGTAGATGTGTGGTGTTATTTCTGTTGTGTTACCAATATATCCTTACACTTTGTCTGCTTTTTTCACTTGAGCCCTTAATGTATTCATCGTAGTTAGTTTGATTACTCTGATAATTCCATAATCTGTGAATCTGGTTCATATGTTGCCTTAGCTCTTCTGATATGCTTTTTCTTGCCTCTAATATAGCTTGTAATTTTTGCCTAATATATTAGATGATAGAAACTAAGATAAGTGTGTTTTTAGTGTGAGGTTATATGTTAATCTAGCAAGAATTAGAACTGTGTTTAATATTTTGTATAGCCGTGTGTGTCAGAGGCTTTGAATCTTAATACTGCTTTCTTTTTCCTTCTCTTTTTCTTTTTCTTTTGTCTTTGAACCTTCCCTAAGAAAGCCTTCTTATGTAGAGTCTTTTTCTTTCAGCTCCTTCAGCTATTGTCCTTTGTTGTTTTATACTAGATCCCTGCTGGTACAGGGCTAACATGTGGCGAAAACTGATTGTTCCATAATCTGATTAGAACTCAAATTTGTAGTGAGCCTATGTCTCTGGAACTTGACCTTTACAAATGTGAAGCTTTTTGTTCCTTTCTTTAGGTGATACTGGAAGGCTAGAGAGGGATGAAGTCTGAGAAATACCCTTCCCTCAGGTGGGATAGGACTGAGGTAAATTATTTTTAACTGGGGGAATGGGCTTGTGTTACGGGGAATGCTCTGGTCATATTGCACTATGATTATTTTTTCCTTTCCCCTCTTAGAGCCCTGAGGATTTCTCTTGGTTCTTCCTCTTGAGAACCTAGCGGGATTCCTTATGGAAAAAACCATGAGGCCGGGGGCGTGGCTCATGCCTGTGATCTCAGTACTTTGGGGGGCCAACGTGGGTGGATCATGAGGTCAGGAGATTGAGACCATCCTGGTTAACACGGTGAAATCCTATCTCTACTAAAAATACAAAAAATTAGTCAGGTGTGGTGCTGGGTGCATGTAATTCGAGCTACTCAAGAGGCTGAGGCAGGAGAATCACTTGAACGCAGAAGGCAGAGGTCACAGTGAGCCGAGATCACGCCACTGCACTCCAGCCTGGGTGATAGAGCAAGACTCCATCTCAAAACAAATAAACAAATGAAAGCAAAAATAAAGCAAAACAAAAAACGATAAAAATGTGCAGCTTCTCCCCACTGCAGGGTTCTTCCCACTGCACTGTTCTCACTCTCATGATAGCCCATAATTAGCCTTCAGTACTTTGTCAATTTTGCCATTTGTGTTTCTGCAGTTTATATTTTTATTTGCTTCATGATTCAGGCAAGTAAATATTAGCTGTGACTCTGTGTTTGCCTGTGTTTTCAGATTTTGGGGTGGCAGTTCACCCTATGACTTCAGTTCTTTCATGAATCCCAACCAAAAAATCATTGATTTTTAGTTTCTTCAGCTTTTTTTCTTGTAAGAATGGGAATAATTACTTTTTAGCTCTTTATGTGTTGGAGTTGAAACTGGAAATCAGTATATGTGTTTTTGAGGTATAGCACATAACTTATGCAATTTTCTCTGCAGTGAAGTGTAGTTTTAAGCAGATCGTCTAAATTTGGGGAAGAGTGAAAGGATTGGAAAGGATTGCATGCATGGCAAAAAAAAAAAAATGTGGTCTGAAAAATGTGGTCTGAAGCAAGTCTCCTATTACTTCAATAGAGACTCCTGGCTACTGACTCTCTCTCAATACTCTGTCTACATTGATTTATACATATTCTAATTGTGTTACTAAAAAAATTCTCAATAAATATAATCCAGAATTAAGTCACCAATAATTAAGAATTGTATTGTTTTGTTACTTTTTTTTTTTTTTTTGGCTTAAACACATAACTGACATTTCTAAACCATCTACCTTACAAAGATAAACAGTCTGCAATATGTTTTCCTTAGTCATTGTAATTTCATGACTTTGAGTGCCAAATCAAGGAATAAAGGTTTATTACTGAAAATGGCATATCAGTGAACATAAAGGGAAATAATAAACTGGCTGGTTCTAAACTTGGCCTACATTTTGTTTGTCCTAAGCAGCCCCTGCGCCAATAACATCAGTTACTATAAAGGGACTCATAAGAATAAAAGGCTTGCAGTGTCTTCAGAGCCCATTTTTTGTTGATGGAACTCTTCATTTTCACAGATGCAAAAGCAGTTTGGGGATTTCCATGGCAGTGTAATAAAGATATTCAAAATCTACATATACAGTTAAAATGCTTTGTGGGTCTCTCTAGGAAAACTGTAGAGTGATATTATGCCTAAATTCAAATCTTCTCTAGCGAAGGGTGTATGGATGTGGATATGAAATTAAACTCTTTAAAAAAAGACATGTATATTAAAAATTGAATATAGAAAGATATAAACCAATAGATAACCAAGAAGGTGCTTAATGAATTTACACTAAATTTTAGAGTTTATGTTGGAGATACCAATTTAGTTATATGTGGAATGTGAAGACTAGTGTAGATCAAATCTGGAAGATTTGTCCATATAGAATTTCAGTTTATTATTAGAAAATAAAAGTGTCACCCTATTTAAAAGAATATTCTAAAGATAAATTAAATTATATTAAACACTCAGATATATAGTGTAAGAATAAATTGATTATATGATTACTTTGGTAAATATGATTTGTTTAACAGCAATTGCGTAATTGAAATTTCTATTCCCATCCTGCTGGCTCCTATTACACAGTGAAACCTACG